ACAGCCGAAGGGGTGATGGAAGCCGCCTTTCTCGTCGCGGCAGTGAAGATTCTAGAACTACTGAGCAGCGTCTGTCATGAAAGAGGGGTAGAGTGTAGACGAACATAACAATGGTTTCTTCTTGAGTTGCGAGACCGATTAAAAATCTTCCTCCCACAGAAGTCGCATCTCCAGAATTCGGTACGCCCGGCATACTCACGCCCCCAGAATTCGAGCTTGGCAAAATATCATGCAGCAGCTGTATGCCACCTCGGAGAATCGGCATCTCCAGGACAGAGATTTTGCATCTATGAGCAGAGGAAGGGCAGCACTAGTCGATGGTTTAGTCGACCAGGTCTAGAAGGATGGGAGTTTGGGCCAGTGTGATCATTCGTGAAGTTGAATTTGGAGGTAATGTTGTATGCCACGCAACCAGGAGCCCACCAGCGCGGACAAACCCATTTTTGTGCAATACAGGGCAGCATGAAGATAACAAACGCCTTCAAGAAATTACAGAGACGACTCTGGCCACCATTGAAACTAAAATAGTTACCGTCAACAACATCCCACGATTCGTCTGGTTTGTGCATCACGTGACATGACAGCGAATGTTGAATATCAAATATTATATACGCTGTCCGTAACATAGCCTTACATGATTTTCATCCCTCTCTTTTTCGCTATCTCACCTTGCCATATGCTTACCACGCTCGTTCCGGCCTAGTCAAGTATTCGAAAACGTATATATACCGCTCATGTACACTGATGTGACCTACAACGAATCTTACAGTGAGATCCCCGTTCCAAGAGAGCTCCTCCAAAAGTCCTCGTCTCTAGTCCTAGTCCTATCCCTCTTCGTTGTTACCTAACAACACGTCTTATTTCTATCCCATTTTGTACCGTTGTCAGCTCAAGGTCTCTAGTTACCCATGTTGTCTCATCTCATCGCCCTCCACAATGGGCAGACTGTCCCTGCTATCGGACTCGGTGAGCTCTTTAACATGGTTGAAGATGAGATCTCGGACTGAATAACGGCACAGGAACATGGCAATCGGAACCCAATACCAGTGAAATCACTTGCGCTGTGGAACATGGGCTCAAGGTGGGCTATAGACACATTGATTGCGCTTTGTAGGAAGCATTTTTTTGATTGCAAAATAAATCTGATGACCACATTGCATGGAAGGTATTATGGGAATGAGAAGGAAATCGGTGACGGTCTGCGTGTATCAGGCGTCCCGCGAGAGGAAATGTTCGTGCGTATAACATATTTCATGTATTCGTTGGCCTGTTCACCTGGGTATTTATAGATCACCAGCAAGCTTTGGGGTACATACCATAGGCGTGTTGAGGAATGCCTCGACCTGACACTCGCAAACTTGGGAACAACGTATCTTGACCGTAGGATCTGCATTTATCCAAGTACGAGCTCGACTTTTTTGACTGACATGAACCGTCTCATTTATTAGTTTACCTTATCCACTGGCCTATTCCGCTGAACCCGAACGGGAGTGACCCACTCGTACCGATACTCCCCAACGGAAACTTTGACCTCGATGAATCACAGGACATCAGGGACACGTGGAAGGCTATGGAGGCCATGGTAAAGAAAGGTAAAGTTAAGGCAATCGGCACATCAAACTTCTCCGAGATGATGCTTGAGAAGATTTTGCCGACAGCTGAGATCATACCGGCTGTCAATCAGGCATGTTCGACGCAACGACGCCCGTTCCAAACTGACCATTGAAATTTATAGCTTGAGCTTCACCTGTACAATCCGCAGCTGAAGCTGTTGGGCTACTTGAAGTCGAAGAAAATTGTTCCACAAGCATACTCTCCCCTTGGTTCGACCGGCGCTCCACTGTTGACCGATGAGTCTGCCACAGAGATCGCAAAGAAGCGTGACCTCAAGAGCACGTCCGATGTCCTTCTCGGCTACTTGCGTGCGTTCATGCCTGACCTTCACCCTGCGCGAGAGTGGTGGCTGACGGATCTGAATGCAGTGAAAAAGGACATAGTTGTCCTTCCCAAATCAATGTCGCCATCCCGTATCGAATCTAACTTGACTGGTGCACTAGAGGCGTACAATTTGTTGACGCTAGAGGATATCAAAATTCTTGACGGTGTTGCTGCGGGTGGCAAGCAGAACCGTTTTATCACGCCTCCCTGGGGTGAGTGTTAGTAATAGCTGCGAAGGTGATTCCACTGACATATACTATTTAGGTATTGACATTGGTTTCGATAATTGGCCCACTTCGGCGACGTAAGGGGTGAGCTCAGATTCATTTGGTGTACATCAAAGTAGGTAAATTGCAGGTACGATTGTAGAATCTGAGGCTCCAGATATATGAGCTGTTCGCACAATAGGATTCTGCAAATGTGCTCAGAATTTACCGGCCGATGCGAGGAGTATGACACCACGAGGGTGCAGGTCGGGGGACGACGTGGGCGGGTGACCTGACAGCTGAGCCAAGGTAAAAATGTCAAGCTCGCAACCAGGAATCGTAGTTCCCGAGCCATATAATCGATCCGCTACTCTGAATTCATCCGTGTTTGCTTCAAATACGCAAGCTTCCAGTGCGTATCAATAACTAACACCGGTCGCAAGGAGTCACGTATTTGGCTGAGAGGATGCAGCGCTAGATAATACCATATCCTTCGTTAGAATACATGTGTCGCGCGCAGCGCTCTTGAACTCTACTGCAACGATTTTACAAGGACTATGACAAAAGACGTGTATATGTCAGTAATAATGCATGTGAATTGTATATCCTAAAAATTATATGGCTCCCGCCGTCTGATGCACTTTGGTTGCGGTCTCTTCCATTCCCCTTTGTTTGGGTCTGGCCATAAGGAAGCACTGTTCCTCGGGACTTGATGTGGTTCGCCAGGAGTCGGGAAAAACCCATAGGGCCAAGTAGGCAAGTAGCACATCTCCTACACGACGAGGTCAGTCATTTCGTAAACAATTTGACTTGATTACCTCAAAATCACAGGCCGGTCGGCACGTCACCCACGCGCTCCAGTCTAACCAGGAGATTAACCGTGTCAAATCCTCCTTCCATTCACCCATGAGGGCATGTATGTGATCAGCTTCAGGGCGTTGTTCCGGAGGATAAAGGGGGTCGACCCCAATAATCATTCCAGAAGCCCACATCTTCGTGGCGACGCGGCATATTTCATGCGTAGTTTCCTGCACCGCCTGCATGAGCAAACGTTCAGAGGGCATCAATGTCGTCCCCCGAGCTACTATGGAGGCCGTGTGCGATGTAGCACACTCCCGAAAAATTGGCGCAGCCCACAAATTTGTCGTGTTAGCAGTGACGGAGGTATTGGGAGGTAGAGCTGAAAACAAAGTGTAGGGCAAAAGCACGGTGCGCAATCGTCTCTGAATTTGTTGTGCATGGTCGAAGATCGACTTGTCGTCCAGCGTCATGTTCAAAAGGTACTGCATAAAGTCCAGGCGGCTGGCATATCGATCAACTACCACCCGCAAGACCGTTTTCCAGTCAATGCCGCTGGTTGTCACGGGGGGTCGTACTAACGCTTGAGCTAGCCTGTCTTGAACGCGTTCTATATCCTCCGATGATATTCCTTCCACCCGATGATCCCACCGCTCCAAGCCTACACGGCGCGGCACTAAGGAGGGAACAAGAGCGGTGTCGTAGAAAGAGACAAGCCCAGAAAAATCAAGGATAATTCGGGTCTCTCCTGGATAATTTGCGCGCCATGAAGCAGAATGCATTATAGCAAAAACATGATGCACTAATGTCCGAGAACAAATCAGACCTACGTCAGGACATGGTCATGGTCGCTCACTGGTAGTGGGGTCCTCTGGCATAGCCGTAGGCGAGCGCTTGCGGTAGCGAATGCTCTCCATATTCAGGAACGAAACGACCTCCATGTGAGAGGTAAAGTCACAGATCATGATCTCACTATGACCATCGTTAAAAATATATCCTCAAGGAATTGTGTATGGGTCCGCACAAATTCACTTCCATCCTATAACTCGCAAATCAGCGTAGGGCATTGACACATCTCAAAATCCAACGAACCTCACAAAGCCGTTCAGGCCATACTTTTGACCCCATTTACACAGATCCTTAATGCGCTGCTTTTCATTCCACACCCACTCGGGTTTCATTTTCGACCATGCCACGAGATCTTGAGTGTCCATGGTGCCCTCGAGGAGCTTCGCAGCGCTACTTCCGTCAAAATAGAGCACTTTCATCGGCTGAGTGACTGCAAGGGTGAGGTGCCAGCACCCTGTTTCTATTGACCCTTTGCAGAACACTAGGGAGTGATCTGGTTCTACAGCTACCCAATCTAAAGCGGTTGGTATATGGGGACCGCTGGCTCCATGGTAGAGGAGAGTGCCCACGGGAACAGTCCCTGGGACTATTGTATGACCTGCAGAACGTAAATGATGAGTCGTGACATTTGCGTGGCATTCAGTAATTTCAGATACCAATACGATAACGCGTGTTTGCCCAGTGTTGAAGCAGAGAATTGGCTGTGTCGAACACCAGATGTCCTGTCGCGTTCACTGCAGGCGCTTTATCAAGGTCCCATTGTCCAAGATCATTTTCGACCGGGTAAAAGGATGGAGATGTATGGCTCAACAGAGGTGTCTGTGCAGTCAAAACTCGTTCAAAGGCAAGAAAAAGCCAAACAGTTACGGCTTTCCTTGCAGCCAGCATTTCGACAAAGGGTCAAGGGCCTTTGTAAGTTTAGTTATCCACAGCGACGTCTGATTGAAATGCACCGCCACTTCTTGTGTGGGAGGAAAATTACCATTAATATTAATGGCGTTCAAAGTAAATTTCACAGAGCTCGCTAAGCTCTGTAAAGCTCGGTAAACTCGGTCAAAAATAAGATTTGTCACACTACGGCTTGGGCCGGCATCGATCGGAGTCCCAAAAGACATGCCTGCCCTACGACCACGACTTCGTCGCTCTGTGTGACTACAGATACAGTCTCAAATCATCTCCCCGCGACGTTGCAAGACCGGGCTGAAATTTATGGAGCCACCATCAGCTCCTCCTGCACGGGGAAAGGGAAAACACGGCAGAGGAGGTAAAGATAGAGCTACTACTTCTCCTACTATTTCTATCAGCTGGCAAGTGGTTCCCCAGTGGACCAATAGGCTGGTTGACTACCTCGTTGGACACCCACCAGATTGCCGTATTCTGTTCACCAGTGAAAAGAAGAATCCAGCCAACCATGAAGCTGAGGGCCACCCCTCACGCAAAGACAAACATGAAATCCATGCTGTCATTGCAAGGGTTATTTTCTCCGATGATCCTCAATATGCGGTGCTCTACGCCTCTAATCCCAACAAATTTTGGGACTCTGTATATAATCGCATCGTGGCATAAGTGATCCCCCCCTATTTTTATAATCATCAATGCTGATTGCTGATCAAAGCCTCCGCACTAAATTTCATGACATTTGTGCTGAATTTGAGTCCACGGGTGCAGGCATTGTGCCCATCGATTCAGAGACAAGCGTGAATTTGCATCGTGAGTCTTCTCCTCCCTACACGATGTAGAAACAACAATACAGAGAGGAACAAATGAAGCTCCTAACTGTATCTAAAAAATGTTGTAAGGTCGCGCATTGCCTAGTCTGCATTACCTGAGGAGACAAGTGCGTTCGACCCTAAAGGGGAAGTGAGTGCAGCAAAGATCTAGAGGTACGCGCTGAAGCGAAGTGCGAGAAAGCGCAGGTGCGTGCAAGGCACGAAGGTGCGGGAACACGCGCGCGTGTGGAAACAATAGAGAGGTTAGACTTAAGTGATAATATGATGCAAGATAAGAGAAAAGAGATGTGAAGTATAGACAAAATGGATTTCTACTATGTTCTTCTAGGCAGATAGTGGGTGGAAAGTAAAGTAAGGTAAGGTAAGTGGTAAAAATCCCCCCCCAAGTTTCACTATGTACTGCTGGCGCTTATATAGCGCGCCTAAGCGCTGTAATGCGGAGCCGAAGCGCTACCAAGTAGGTATGTAAAGATATATATGAGTGAGAATCCATGATAAAAATAAAGACAGAACAATATGCTAATAAAGGAAATGGAAATATATGCACTAGGGAGCTTGGTGGACAGTGGATGGATGCTTCTGGAAGGCTGGCGCTATAGGGCGCTCAAGCACGGGAATGGTGCGCATTGCGCGGGAAAGCTGCGCCTCATATAGGGATAGCTGTGGGTAGCACACAGAGTGATACTACAAGTTCATGCTGTGAACTTCCTAGTGAAAGGTGCCATATTGCACCATGAGAGGCATGAGTCTCTACAACGAATTCTTCTAATTAAATTTGTAGGTAAATACGAGAAGGACTTTCCCTGGTACGATCAGCTCTACTCCATCTGGGGCTCCCATCCATCATTCTCCGCCAAAATGTCATCGTCAAAGCCGGGCGTTGATCACGCGAGTGATCTCTTTTCTCTCACCTGTCCTTCGGGTGGCTCTCTTCGTCCCCCCGCTTCCTCCAGCACTGATCCCGGCTCTCCCATGCAACTTGGCAACATGCCTCTCCCCAATGCTCCAGCTGGGGGCGTTGCTGGGTCATCAACTGGACCCACTTATGACTACCTTCCTCCAAACGCTCATGCAGGTGGTGCCGCGGCTGCTGCACCACCTACCTCCCCCCAATTTTATCACACTCCCCCTGCTCCAAACACTCATGCAGGTGGTGCCGCAGCCACGGCACCACCTACCCCCCCCTTTTGTCACACTCCCCCTGCTCCTGGAGGCAGTGGTGGTAGCCCTTCGCAATGGAACTATGTGCCACTGCCCCCAAGCACTCACACCAACAGTTCTGCCGGGTCCCCTGTTTTTCGTTACCCACCACTTCCCTCCGGTGCTACATCTCACGATGGTACTTACTCTCCCGTCACTCATTCCCCCACTGATGATTATAATTTTGACAGTATCTACAATGACAACCCTCTTGTGGGTGAGATGGAGGATCTTAATATGGATTCCCTGGATGAAATTACTCACGACGACAGCAACACTATCAGCCTGGACAGCCTGCCAAGACGCAGGGCTGGGAAGAAGCGCCAGGAGCCCCCTTCCCCCCCCTCCCCTACTACTACCTCTCATATGCAACAGGTGCCCTCCCGCACTTCCATCCAGCATGATCGCGCTACATTCAAGTCTCATGTTAGCCAGGTGATGATGCGTGAAAAGAGTAAATCAGGCTCTATGGCATTGTCAGGGTCGCGCTCGTCGTCGCACTCTTGAAAGCCATCATCATCTCATGAGCCGTCATCGCAACAGTCCTCCCCAACAGCGCAAACATCTGTCTAGACGATGCCAGCAAGTTCAGTCTCCAAATGTCTCCAGATGGAGATTCGTGAGCAAATGGATGCACTCAATGACAACCTGGAAAGTATTCACTCTGACAAGCTAACCTTATATCAGCTGAAGAATGAGCGCCTTATGGTGAAGCTCAACGCTAGTCGCCAGGACAAGGAGCATCATCTGATGTGTGAGGAGCATATGGATGAGCGCGCAGATGCTGCCATAGTCCATCAGCGCATGAAGGAGGCTAAAGAGGCAGATATTCGCCTACGTGAAGCGGATGCCACCGCTTTTGCTGTGGAAGCAGATGTTCTACGCCTCCGGATTCAGTGGGCCCAGCTCAATGCCCAGGGTGGCAAACCTGCTGGTACCTGACTTCTCGTGTCGTCGTCATCATCACGTTCTTGCGCCGTCATCATCATCATCATGTTCTCGTGTCGTTGTCGTCATCGTTGTCATCATCACCTTCTTGCATCGTTGTCGTCATCATCATCACCTTCTCGCATCATCGTCGTCATCATCACATTCTCGCGTTGTTATTGTTGTGTTCTCATGTCGTTGTTGTTATGTTCTCGCGTCGTTATACTCTTACATGTCTTGGATGTTATATGTCTTGTTATGTTTGCATGTAGTGTTCTCACATATGGCCACAAGTTGATCACTAGTTGTAAAATTTAGTAGTACATTTGTTTAGCTATACACAATGTTACTCTGCTTGTTTGCTCAATCTGCCTGATGGTGTGCTTCTGAACGAGGGCTATCAAACAACAAATCCATCAGCCTTGCCCTGTGAGCTTGACCTGGAGTGCCTTCATAAGACCTATCACCCACTACTTCATCACCATTTGGTCCTTCACCCTCATGGCGTATAGTATTGTTCCCCTCTCGAACAGCCCATACAAGTGTGGATTTCTTGCGAATCTCCTCGAAGTGGATGATCATATTATGAAGGATTAGGCAACACCTAACCCAATGCAGAGTGACCTGAAGATCCTTCTGGTTCTGAAGTGGGTGCCTAAGTTCCTTGAGAGACTGGAATCGTCCTTTCAAAGCTGCAAATGCATGTTCAACACGAACACGGACCTATATGAATAAAAAATCAGTGAAAAAAATAGAAATACCCGAGAGAGGTTAATATTGAAGGATTTCTGGTCCCTGGTCAACCTCCCATTACGTGGCTTCTTGAAAGGGGCAATGCACCACTTCTCAAGTGGGTAGGCACTATCTGCCCAAATCCAATGGTCCTCTGGAAGAAGAGTGTCATGCTCCTGATAAACACGAGTGGATTTGAAGGCATAAGCATCATGTGTACTGCCAGGGTTACCCAGTGAATAATCAACTATGAGGAGGTTATGGGGCATAATGATTGCCTGAATTTTTTATTAATTTCTAACTGTTAGAATAAGAGAAAAAAAATACCTGACAGTTGAGGGAATAGTTAGACTTCCTGTCATAAAATGCCTCACCATAAAGACCAGGTTTTTCATACAAATTAATGGCAGAACCATCAATTGCAAAAATACCATTTCTCCACTCAGGGCAGGACCTAGCCTCAACAAATTGCCGAGCACGCTCAGCATCTTCGGAGTCAGGAGTAGGAAATTGGATGAATGTATCATGCAGATCAAGGAGGGCAATCATGACACGGTTGCTGCAATTGATTACTGACCCCACACTAACACCTGCCCATTGACCCACATCTTCTGGGGAAATGGCATTGCCATAGTGCCCAGCGTGGTTGAGAAAAATGGCTAGTTGAATAGCAACTGGAAGCTGGGGGTTATTGGACTGATTAGTGAAGATGGGGTGACCTGGGATGTGATCAAGGATATCGTCAAAGATCTCTGGATTGATGCGTAGTTTCTTCCGGAAGAGATGAGTGCGAGATGTCCCAAAATCATGAAGGAGGTGAATTTGAGGGGCCTGCATAGGAGGTGCATCTGGCTTTTGAAGGACACGTGCCCTTGAGACCTCATCACGAAGGGAAGTGATAGTGTCATGAAGGCGGTCGTAATGTGCAGCAACATGGGTGCTTTCATCATCTGAGTCTGAGTCCAAGTCCAAGTCCGAATAGTCAGATAATTGTGGGGTAAGAGGAGATGGAGGAGTGAGGACCATATCCAAGTCAGAATCAGAATCAGAGTCGGAAAAGTCAGATAGCGTCATAGTACGAAGTGCATGCTTGTACTTGGAAATGGTTAAGGCTAATTCTGCCTCATCCAGTTCATCAAGCAGCTGGTTGCATAGGGAAAGACGGGGCATGATGAGGTTCAAGAGACACCAATATGAATATGCTTATTGATCCTTATCGATCAGCTTACCACTCTGTGTGATGGAATCCAAATATGGGGTCGGAGTTTAAATTTTCCTTTTGTGGTAACAAGCACTCTGGTGCAGCACCGGCACCATCAACGACGACGACACTCTAGCGCCTGTTCGGCATCTCTCACATCACCCTCATCATGTTCCTTTGCCGTCCACCAGGGGAGTCAAGGACGGATCTCATAGTGCTGCCCATCGTCAACATCCTCGAGCACGTCCTCAAACTAACATGCCACTCTCAAATCCAGTTGTGTCCAACTGCAGCTTTCACATCTATTCCTCTCCATGCAGCTCACCCGTTTCAAACAAAGGCAGATCGTTTGAGGAAGGACCCAAAGTGCCGCCTGTGCGCCATAATCCGATCAAAGTTCCTGTCCGCATCCCACCAAAACCCACAAAAGACCCACAGCGACCCGCTTTCGTTCACTACCTTTGCAAACTTCTCCCTTCCTCCTCCCGCATGAACGCACTCCGTCCTATTCGGAACCATGAACCTCGTGATCCGCTGGACGTATGTTTCTTCTATCTGTTGCCTTCGCAGTCGATTTGACCCTCACCTTGTAGTTCCCTGCTACGTTGCCCTTACCTCCAAATTACTCTCCCTTGGGGCAGGCCATGACTCAGGTGTGTTCATATATGGATCCCGGCGAGAATGCGAGTGTTCACTGTCGTCATCACATTTTCAGCTTGCATTTTCAGTCTCGATCCGCATGACTAGTACCACCTGCCCCTCAGTCCAGCTGTTAAGACCATGCACAAAGGGTAGGACTGATTCTGAGGGGCTTGGCTTCAGCTCGTGCGCTGCGCCCCTTACCCGAGTATGTGCCCTTAATTTCAGATTGGTGTCCAAGGAAAGTCTGAAGACATCCGAAGGTGCGGGAAACTTTGGAAGGACTTTCCGAATGGGTGCAAGTAACTTCCGGATGAGTGCGGGAAAGTTCTGGAGGAACTTCCGGAAATTACAATGAGGTTTCGTCCTGATACGGATATGTATAATGGCTACTCGGGACTTGTCCTGAGTAGAAGTAAACAGAGGAAAGGCTGCAAGGACATAGGATGTGGCATTAGGGCAACAGGACAAGGATGAATGATGCAGGCTAGCTGCGAAGGATAAGGGATCTGGATCTGGACATGCGGATGTGGATGTGCAGAGGTGCAGGGATCCGGATGGGTACTGGAGACATGGATAGGACATCTGAAGGTCCGGATGAGGCGTGGGAATATTATCGGATGTAGGTCCAGAATACGGGATATGACACCAGCCTTACAATTCACATTTCATCATGAGAGACGAACGTTCGCAGGCTTATGATCCTCTCTGAAATGGTCACTATGATAGTTTGTATGTAGCTTATTTTGTACTTAGTACAGTAATCCATCTGCGCCTCTTCACCTTCCCAAACACTAAGTCTCTCTTCAAAGTCCGACTGTGATGCCGAATGGAGCTGTACTTGTGTTAATGTTTTTCAGACCGATTTAACTGATGTTTACCGAGCTTTACCGAGCTTTACCGAGCTTAGCGAGCTCTGTGAAATTTACTTTGAATGCCATTATTCTGTGGGGCCACAATATGTCCTTTTGCTTGGGCGCATCCTGGACTCCAAGGGGCAAGACGACCGGGAGTGAGGTATGCCCGTGTCACATGAGCTTTATTCGGTATATTGGATGTTTACATAAACAAATTTGTCTTCCATTTTGGATGATTTACTTTGAGAACATCCTAGGCTAAAACCGCCCCTCTGGCGCACAAAGTCTGGCATGCACTATAGCAAGAACGGCAGCAAAGCTAGTGGCTAACAGATGGCACGTTGGACATTGAAATACACTTGGAGGCCCGTTCTATGGTGCACACCACTTAGCCACCACTACTGTGGTGCAGTGGCCAAATTGGGTGCTAATGATGCCGACATCCAGATATGCCACTACCATGCCACTCCTGGGAGTCCTTAACTTGTTTTAGTACTTTGTTTTAAAATTGTAAATGGTTTTTCAGTACAGTAATCCAAGTCAGTTGTTTCTTATTCATAATGGTGAAAAATCACAAACAGCTTGCAGCTGCATGTGCAGTGTGATGGAAAAATAAGCCGCTGGTTTCTGCATGTTCCTCTGTACAAGCTCTTTCATCACCATCAGCGCAGTCTGCAGGCATACCCAAAGCGCTCAGCACAGAATTCAGTCCAATAGACTTGGATTTTGACAATCTCTCTGACTGTGGTTACACTGGGGGTATTGATTTCCATCAGCTGAATGATGAGCATGAATCTGACTCACCTTCAGGAAATGAATGGTCTGATGATGAAAGTCTCTGTGAGCTGGAGGGGAATGATCTTGAAGAAAATTTGAAAGGACTTCAAGCAGAGACATTTTTTGACAAGTTGTCATGGCCAAAGACCAGTATGGTATGGATGAAAGCAGAGCAGAACCAGTCTCTCAGATACAATGGCTTCTCCAGTCAAACACAGCACCAGAGGGACAAGATGGCTTGAGATCGAGCTGAACACTGAAAAGAGATGAAGACATCGTATGTATCAGTTTCGACTGGCCCACAGCAATGATCTGACACATACCTGATTAGAGATAACCCACAGGTCGCATTTATGTGACAGTGGTGTGTACCAAAAGCTAGTGCCATGACTCAGAGTGGAATAAGTGATGGTGCTCAGTCAGAAGGTTCTTCCAACACCGCAACTCAGAACTTCCAGCTGCAACCAGGCACCATAGCCATTGATTTTGCTGGCTACCTTTCAGATGAATCAGACCTGAACAGCAAAGATGACTCTGACTCCAAGTTGGATGAAGATGCTTGGCCACCTGACTCGGGGTATCAATGTGTGGTTGTGAAAAGTAGCCAAAGCACACACAAATGTTTGCCCACTGTTCCACCACTCAAACACTGAAAGCTGGATATCCCATTTCACATGCAGCGCAAACTCAATAAAGAAAGACGTGAAGATGAAAGATGCACAGCCTTGGAGGCAATTGAAAAGCTGCTAAAGTTGAAGAAGACGACGCTCATTAGTGGCCCAAGTGGCTTACAGGCAAAACAGACATGC